AACAAAAATTACAATCTCTTGAGAAAGCGATGAGTGAATTTTGGCAAAAAGAGAAAACCATGAGGAGGAATTATTGAACAATATTCAATTACAATTTCAAATAGAGAATGACAATAGTTAGATTGATAATTTTATGACTGTGGAATAAATATAAAGTATAAATACTTTTTTTGAAGGATTCATTTTGTTTAGATATAATGTGTTATCGAATATTATTTTTAATTTAATAAAGTGTTTTAGTTTTATGATCTTATTTTGTATTTAATTAATTTTAAATTTTAAAAATAGTATAATTCTATATATATTGATCGATGCTAGAATGTTATAATCAATGGCCTTTCACAACTAAAATATTATATGTTAAAATATTTTTAACGAAATTCGCTCTCACAATAATTGCTACTTTTAAATTTAATTTTGAAAGTGATTATAATTGCTTCCAAATAGGATTTAAGATAGCAAAAACTTTAGTTACGATATTGATGGGAATCAAGATGACCCCACATGTACTACGTCAAGAGATCCATTACACATTCCAAGAGGTCCAGTCACGAGAGCTAAAGCTAGGAAGATGTGAGCAGCTTTAAATGGCCTTATTGAGCAGATCAGGGTTGACAACAACATGCAAGAAGTAAATCGAAGCTTGGATGATTATCAAGGCATGATAAACATCATTCAAGTTCAAGAGAAGCTTACTTGAGGTCATTTATGCTAAATTACACAATTTGCGTCGATCTTGCAGTTCTGTCGTAATTTGTAACAAACTGATATGTCATATTACTTTAGGTTACTTTTAGTGATTTTCACTTTTTTTATATTATTTTGGGCTGAACATTCATTTATTTAAGGCCCAATTCGTGGTTATTATGATTAGGGGTTAGGGTGTTAGTTTCCTATTTTGATTAGAATTACTTTTTTCTATTTGAAGGGGCTTGTAACCCTAATTGGGAGAGCCATTGAATCTGAGTTTTTGAGAGACTTTTATTTTTGCTTTGTTTTAGAACTTTACAAAACTTATTAAGATTATTCTTGTGATTTTTTAACCTGACTTATCATTCTCATTCTTAATCATTTGAGGGTGTGGCGGCAACCAACTTTATACATTTGGTTCTTGTTGTGTCATAGACAACGGCTCAAGGTTTTTACCTTTGGTTCTTGTTACGACATAAACAACAGGTCAAGGTCCTGTTATAAACCTGATTTGGCTTTCCTAGAGTTTAGAAATCCCTTGTCGTGCTATGGATCTCATTGTTCTCTCTGGGGTTCTCATCAGATATATTCTTTTAGGAGCTGATTTGTAGTTAAAATACACAATTTTTGAAATAATCATTAGTATTTTTACATATTTATAGTGTAACTATTTATGTTATTACTAAATCATATTTTACAAAACAATAAATAACGTGTTGTTTAAATTATTATATAACAACCACATATTTTCGTTGCTAAATCTAATTTTCTATGCTAACTCAAAAGGTTAAGGAAAACCCTTCTTACCTATATTTTAAATGGCTCATATAATAATTTTTTCATAACAACTACAGTAGTTGCATAATAAATCTTTAACTAACAAGAAATATTATAGGGAAAATTCTCTCCCATGTACTAGGCTTGTTCTTAATACTATTTTACAAAATAGCTTACATTATAGAGAAATATCATTTTAGTAATTGTTGTAATGGTTATAAAAAAACACATTTAATAATGACTAATTTAGTTGCATAATCTATTTTTTGGTAACAACATATTTTGGTTGCTAAACTTATTTTACATAACAATTAATTTTGGTTGTAAAATTGTACCTTTGGTAATAACTTATGGTGTTATTATAAAATAATTTAACAATGACAACCACTACTATGTCATTAGCATTATTTTTTACCTATGAGTGTATATTATAAGTATTTTGTTTTACTTACTATTTTTTTAAAGGCAGAATACCCAAATCTATCCCCAAAGTCTAGTGGTAGGGATGGATTTATCCTTGAACAAGAAACGAGGACAAATCCACTCACAAAGTTTTTGACTTGGACGAATCACCCCAAATTTAACATGTAACATCATCTGACATCAGTAATATGTTAATTTGACGTCATCTGACATCAACAATGCGTTAAACATCAGCAATTCGTTAATGAATTAACACATTGTTGATGTTAGATGATGTCACACATTAAATTTGGAGTGATTTATCTAAGTCAAAAACTTTATAGGTGAATTTGTCTTCATTTTTTGTTTGAGGGTAGATGTCTTTGCCACTATACTTTGAAGGTGAATTTGGGTATTTTGCCTTTTTTTAATATAGGTATAGGGTTGTTAATCTTTTGACCTACGATATATAACACTATAGGAAGCCGACCACAACTACAGTTAAATATTTATAACTACAATACATATACTTACACTTTTTTGTCCATGGGTATAGGCCTCAAATGGGATATGCCTATGGATTTTTAATCATATACAAACAATTTTTAGCTGTAGCTATATGACAACAATGCTCTTGTTGTCATTTGATAGATCCTTTATTATTCTATTAGTATATGATTGAAATTATAAAATGAGAAAAATTTCACATGGCTCATAAATAAAAAGTAAAGTTTACTAATACTCTATATAAAAAAATGCCTAATTCTACATTGTTTAGAAATAAAAAATATAATTTATTAATACATTATATAAGTAAACGCTTAAAATATATTAGAAGCCTCTTTTAAGTTTATTGGTGGCCTTTAAACATTTTAATTAGTAGTTATTATAGCTATAATTATTTAAATTAAATTTGAATTAAATAAATAATATATAATATATATTAAAGTATATTGAAAATTTTTAAAATTTTATTTTTAGGGATTATATTTTTATTGAGATAAGTTATTAATAAGTTAAAAATTCGGTCACAAATAAATATGTGACATTACAAATAAAATATTTTTTGTGTCTAATTATTGTAATACAAATAATCTTAATTGTGATGCACAAAATTGTCAGAAGTAAGGTAATAATTGTATCTATTTTTTCATCATTAAAAATATGTTTTTTGTGATGATTGAAAAGGTGGTGGTAGGGTGTGGGATATTTCTTGAATACAAGTTAGGAATGTGTTTGTTTGTGGAGGAACATTGTGGCTTTAGGAGGTGAGGGGGTATAGGCTCTTGGGTATTTAGGGATGGGTCTTCTTGGATGGTGGGAATGGGAGATAAAATAAAATTCGGGTGGGATATTTGGATTGGAACTGTACTTCTTCAAGTCTACGTTCGTAGATTATTTAATTTGTCAGCTAACAAAAATGCAACAGTTATGGATGTAGGATATTTTTCCAATGGCTCATGGTTTTGGAAAAATACTTGGAGATGTGAACCATTTGGGAAGGAAAGGAATGAAGAAGAAAGATTAAACGAGACCCTTGTTGGAGGACTTGCCCTATCTTCTCAACCGAACCAAAGAAGCTAGAGTTTTGATGCTGCAAATGGGTACATAGCTAACAAGGCCTACTCTCTGATTTCAGAGCAAAATAGAATTTTGGAGCAAAAAATTGCCAAAAGCCTATGGGGGCAATTTGATTGCCTCAAAGATCAATTGCTTTGGTTGGTGTCTTCTTCTTAAGGACTTTCTACAAATGCAAGCCTTCTTAGGAGAGGCATACAGCTTAATGATTCAGAAACTATTTGCTGCTTATGTAGTAAGGAATTGGAGGATGAAAATCATTTGTTTGTTCAATGTTCAAAGGTTCAGAGACTATGGATGAGATGCTACAGATGGTGGGGATTTCCCTTTCTCTTTCTAATTGAATCCAACTTTTGTGTAAAGCTCACTAAGTGGGGATAAAAAATTTGATTAAAGCGGATATTTGGTTCCCGATTTTCTTGGTGGTTGCGCGATCAATCTGGTATACGAGGAATTCAATCACTCACAATTCAGAAAATGGGATGATGATAGAGTTTTTGATATGATTCCAAGGAGGACTTTCGCATGGATAAAGAGGAAACTTGTAAACACTTTGTTCCCCTTCCATTGCTGGTGCAACTTTCGAAGTTATGTGCTCAAGAAATTAGAAAAAGTTAGACAAAAATTTTTGCTCTCGGTCTTCTTCATTGTTATTGTAAATTTCTATTGTAATGCTTTATTTGTATTGTGTTTTTGAAATTATGGTTGGAATACCCTTATAGTCTGTTTAATAAAATATCTTTGATTCATCTAAAAAATAGAAAAAGAGCTGTTTTTATTTTGCAAATATAAATATACAAACATTAGCCCTCTTTCTCCATGAACCTCTTCGCTATCTTGTAAGCTTCCTTCAAATGCGCTCCAAACCTAACTATATTCAGTTTAACATTCTGTTCCTTTAAATATATATTCATAGTCGACCAATTCTTCCCACGAAATGCAATAGGGTCTTTTATCACCAAACCATTCTTATCATACTTTTCCACCAGACTACTCTCCTCTACACCAATTTTATATTCTATGTATTCTAGCTGCACTGCCCTAGCTGGCATGCCATAGCATACCTCTGCCGCCCATCTAGTGCCCAACGGCACCACTTGCATGAACACTGAGCCAGGACGAAGAAACAACAAGTGTGTGAGCGCTGCACCATGCACCCCTATCATTGCATGGCTTGTGTGAAGCAATGCATAAACATTACTCAACGAAGTGGTAGCTTTTGGCTCAAATAAAACAACCTCAAAACCAATTTCTTCAGCCACCCTCTTTGCTTCTTCTTCGTTTAAAAGCACTCTACCAATGCCAACAGGACGACTGATGAACACTAATCGCGGTCGAACTTTTGGAGGATCCAAGATGGCGCTACCAAGGTGACCAAAGGCTTCGCCTAGCATGGAACGAAAATCAGATAATGTTTTCGGGTGAGGTAACAATGTTGGGTCTACTGTAATCAAACCATGTGAAATGAGGCCCACAGAGGTAGAAGTAAAACAATGGGTGGAAGTATCATTGTCGAGGTTTATAATAGGGTGCTTTGTAAGTATATGGAGCAAATCTGCATACCTATTAACCCACCAATCACGGGCTTTGGAGATCACTAGGATGAAGTCTTGATCTGCATCAAAGATGGAATTAATGGTGATGAAGAGGGGGATGAACCCATCACTCAAATCATGGAAGAAGTTTCCCGTGTATCCTCCCGCACTGAATACAATGGCTGGTACATTATGTTGGACCTCACATGGTGGGCTTGGGCCTGGGCCTGAAGTGAGGGTGAGCTCCTTGATTGTAGCCATTGTGTGGTTTTCTGCTTTTCTAGGGTAGGGGCGGATTTTCTCCAAGGTGTATGGTGGGGACGATGAGCTGGGGTCCATGACAAAGAAGGTGGAGGTTGTGGGGTCCAAGACAGTTGAGCCGTTAATTAAGCAGATATCATAAAACTGATGCGAACGGTCGCAGCTAATGGTTGCTTTTCTAGCACGTGGGAATTGCACAGGTAATGGTTGGAGACGTTCCTCTTTTGTCATGACAACGATTTGTGGGTCCAGCTTTTGCATTCTTTTCAGTTCTTGATGATTTGTTTGTGATGAAGCTGCAACGGGAAGAAAGTTCTCAAATTAATTAAAAAACTCTTGTAAGTTGAATAAAATATTTTATTATATGTGAAGAAATGTGCAAAGAAAATTCTAAATCTCGACGTGGCCATGTGGGATGCAATTCAACATGTCAATAGTTCCAAATAATGCAAAAGTATTCATTACCTATTTTCAAAAAAAAAAATAATGCAAAAGTATTTACAAAAATAATTAAATTAATAAAAAAATATAATACAATTTAAATTATATTAAATTATATTATATTAACTATTAAATAAGAGTAAATCTCTTTATATTGAAGTTTTTTTTCTAATTTAATAGTTTTTATTTTATAATTCAGTGTAATCCATACTATAAAAAAGAGTTTTCTTAAATTAATTTAGAAGTAAAAAAAAAATGTGTTTTACTAGTAATTCTTTTAATTGTTTTCGGATGTCTCATCTAAAATTTTTTTTTCTAATTAATATTTTTAAAAACTAACTTTTAAATTGAAATTTTTATTTGTATAAATTATGTTTGTCAACTTTTGTATTGATCTAATAGATCTAACTAGTTCATTAATTACATGAAATTTAATACTTGTTAAATATATATTAATAAATAAAGTTTTTATAATCAAAAGGTTAATTATAAATGTTAAATTAATATAAAAATTGACATATATTATTTATAAAAATAAAAAATTTAATTTAATAATTGATTTTTAAAAATAGTAATTAAAAAATAAATTTTAAATAAATTTAAAAAATAACCTTTGGAAGAACGATAGGGATTATACAAACCGCGAGGTAAAATGATTGAAAGGAGAAAAGAATAATAGTCATATTTGTCTAGACCTTTCTTGCTGCTAAGGAATTCATCAATCAAATTAAAGTTTCCCCATAGTGCTCTCAACTCCACCATTAATATAGCGACTTGAAAAACCTAGATCCTACAAGACTAGAACAAAATCAGCACCGCTACATCTCGATCCAAACCCTCATAGCATCACCCCGCTGACTATTCATTCCACAACACACGAAAACTGAAAAGTAATACCGACACCAAAACCCTTACACCTGAAACCACCTTATTTCAGAGAAGAAATATAACATGGTGACACAATCAGGTTTCCTACAATGCGACCATTAAGACCTTGCCATCATCTGAAAGTTGACCCAAGCTATCCTAAAAGCACGGTGCCCTCTAGCCTACACTCCTAACTACATATATAGACAAATCAGTCCAAGAAAAGCCATTCGTCAACAACAACGAACACCAAGAAAAGATCTACAGCCCTCACAAACACGAGAGAAAGCAGAAAGAGAAGGTGGAAACAATCATCTAAATGGTCAAATAGTAATCAATTTCCTCTTGAAATAATAGGTCTTGCATTCAACTTGCATGATATTTTGATAGAATAT